CAACAACCAGCGGATTCAACTCAAGAACCTTCGTTTGCTGACTTACCGGATGAGATATTGCGATTGTCACAACCTTCAAGACGACGCAACCGAGATGAAGACCCTCGAGAACGATATGTTCTTCCTCGAATAGATGGTGAGATACAACGCGTTTGGTATCACGACCTTGGAAGAGATTCTCGATGTTTGGTGATATTATTGGAGATAGGAACGACTCCTGATGGTGTTTCAAATGTATTATTTGAAGGAAGTTATGAAGGCCTCAACAGTGATCAAATAACAGGGTGGTCTTCTCGCCTTGGAATGGGACACTATCGATGGCTAAGAGGACCCATCAACTATCTTCGAAGAGAACAAAGATCAGAGTATGTAGCAAATACAATTCGCCGCATATTAGATTTTCTCAATATATAATCACTGCTCTTCGTGGAACTCGTCCCTAGAAGGGAGGGTAATGTCACGGACATACATATAATTACCTATATGAATAGGTAAAAGTAGGTTAATTGTGTAATATCTTCTAGAGAAGCTTCTTAGAAGCTTCATAGACATTGCTTTGACTTTATAGGAGTCTATAGTTGACTTTTAGGTTAGAAACTTGGTCAACAAGTTAGCCATGTGCCACGCATGTTGGAAGCTTAAAGAACAAGCTAACTACGTGGTCCATCCATAGAAAACTTGCCTTGCAAGCAAAGGCATGTGGCCTAAAAAGTCAACATATATTGGAGGTCTTATAGAACATCGCCACGTGGCTTCTAGTTAGATAGTATATATAGAGGCAAGAGTGAAGCCCTCTTCACTCTTGTCAACTCCTTTCTTGCTTCTAGTCTAGTTTCAAGGGTCTCTAGTTTTCTTGTATTTTGGCAATAGCCATTCCAGTTTCTTTCTTAATATACATATTTCTATTTTGTCCTATTTCTTTTTGAGAAAAGTCTCACTTACTCTTTAGCTTTCATCGAGTTCTTGTCCTTGACAGCAGCTCTGCCTTTAAGTCCTTGACTTACCACGTCAAAATTCACCTTATTCCAACTGATAGATTTCTAGATATTACAAAAACCCTAAACAACCCCAATATGCCGACTTCTGATACCTCTTTACACTAATGATCAAATATCCTCTATTCGTACCTTTAGATTAATGAAAATTTTTGCATGCACTTGGCATACTCAACCATCTAGACATCTCTAAAATTTCAACCACAGATGTTTCTCCAACTTTACAAAATAGTCAAGAGTACTAGCCTTAATTTTATTGCAAAAAATCCAATTCACCAATACAAACACTGACTTTGAGCAACGATTGCAAATTCCTCCCAAATCCTATGAAACCAAGTCCTACACCTTTCAAAGGAGCTTGAAGCTAGCTCTCCGACCTCAAAAAAATCTTGATCTCCAAATGCCCTCTTCATTTTCCTCTCTTTTCCCTTTAAGTTCGTGAGGTCCCATATTCTTCCGCCCTGGACTCGGAATTGGAAGAGCTTGAAATGAAATCGAAGCCTCCATAATCAGGACCTCATTGGGTTGCCCAACCGAATCAGGTCTCATACTGGGTAAGAAGCTCGTAACATGACCTAGATTAGATGTCCCCGTAATTGGGTCAAATTGGCCCTTCGCATCAGGCTCACCCAAATGTTGAATTGGTCCTTTCTCCTTTTGCCGACTTTTGGTAAGAATGGCTTGGACACATTCCACTTGATTTATCGGAGTATCTTGAGGACCTCGATTTATCTCCTCAATTTTTCCTTGGCTATGGATCTGCTGATTTCGATTATTAAAATTGAATGGAGCATTATATTGCTGATAAGTATGCCTCGATTGCTTGCAATTCCCACACACTAGCATGTAATTGTCATTGGCTTTGGGATTCAAACATTCACTAGCATAATGACCAATATGTCTGCAACAAAAACAACGAAGTGGTCTTCTTGTACCTCCATCAGGCATATTGGGTGTCTCCATCGATATATACCTACTAGGCTTGTTCCATGTAGGCTTAAAAAATGATCCTAGTTGTCCCGTTGGTACGGAGGATACTTGATTCGATGATGCTGGTGGAGCATATTGTTGATGATTTGATGATGCCGGTGGAGCATATTGCTGATAGTGACGTACGGTGGTATAGCTTACAATGGGGCGATATTAACTGGCCCTTGAATATTGGCATTGGAATTGGCCACTGTTTCTAACATCTAAGATGACTAAATATTAATAAAAACTTTTTCATTTATATTTTTACCATATAATCATGTTACAACACGACAACACATTAAGAGGCTTACTTCAAGATAGTTAGCAATCGATTGAAGGTAGATGATATATAAGCCACAATGTATATATATATCCTTAGCCGCAATGTACTCAAATATTGATGTCTCTACACTTGCATAAGCGTTCTTTGATATTGTCCTTCTTCACCATAGATTATCTCATGTCATTGTTTTAGATCAAGATTCATGCTTCATAAGAAGTTTTTGGTAAGCCTTGTTCAAGCTACTAAGCACATGACTTGCCATATCTACAACCTTCTATCTTCAAATAGATAGACAAATAAAGCGTGCAAATCAAACCTTAAAAAATATGCTGAGAGCATTTGTGGTACTTCATTATAATGACTAGGATGAATATTTGATGTCCTTGGAGTTTGCTTACAATGATAATATTCAAGAAAGTATCGGTTATTCACCATTTTTCTTTAACTCTAATTAGTATCTGACTATGCTAGTAACTCTCTATCGTCCCATTGACATTAGCAATTCAATAGCAAAAAGATTTATACAATGACTTACAACACGCTTATAAGAAGTATGGAATCACTTTCTTATCACTTAAAATTGACAAAAGTAATATGCACATAATCACTAGTAATACAAGACCTTCTAGGAGGGTGATTAGGTGTTACTTTCTAATACCAACTTGCCATTTGCTACATCAATCTAAATCCATAAACTAATACCTTGGTGACTTGGATCTTTTTGTATTTTTGTAATAATTTTTGATGTCTCATACCACCTCAAGCTTCCACCACATATTTAAATTCATCTAGTTTTTCATGTTTTGCAACTAAAAGAATTTTATATCAAGCCAAAGTGCTTTCCGGATTGACACTAACCACCACCACCACTAGTTATAGTTGAGGACTAACAAGAATATAAAGTGAATAGCATTTTGGAGCATTACTACTTTTGTTGTGGTAGTAGACGTCCACAACTTTAGTACAAAGTTTTTTAAAAAGGTTATTCTATCTACAATGTATTGTGAAAACCTTCACAAAGCCTCATCCATTGCCAAAAGATAATTTGAAAATATTATCGGAAACAAAACAAGGATATTTTGCATTAGTGGAGAGAGATTAATTACAACAAGGTATAGATAAGATATTTGTATTGTTGATACATAGAAATAGTCAGTCGGAACCATATTTGAGAAATTATCAAAGTTTCTAAAATTATAGCTAAGTTAGTAGACTATGTAGGATCCACCATAGAAGCTTCTAAAAAAATTTTAGGTAGTTATTTAAGTGAGATCCATCATTTAAGAACATTCTAAAAAGTCGAAGGTGGTAGAATAAAGTATAAATAGGACTAATCAAGGCCTTTTTGGGCATCTGGTCGGATATGGCTTCAGACTTTTTCTCTTAGTAAAATTTGGTTTTATATCTTTCTATTCAATTCTGTTCTGTTATGTTTCTATTTGCTTAGTTTTGTCTTTTGTGTCTTATTTTGTTAATTTTGTTCAATTTTATTGTGATTTATTTTGTCCTACTTTGTAATGAGGTTTTATATTGCTAGAGATTAGAAGGGTCTTAGACTCTCAAAATAAATTGGTTCTATTTCAATACCTCACCAAATGTCCAAGTAGTTTCAACTAGTCCTATTTATATTTTGTTCAATTATCTTAGAACTTTCTAGAATGTCCCTAATAGTGGACCCTATCAAGACAACTATCTTTTTAGAAAATTCTAGAGATAGATCCTACTATAATAATTGCTCTAAAGCTTTCTAAAAGATTCCATGATAGATCTCACATGAACCACCATCCTAACCTCAATACTAGAAACTTCTCAAAAACGACTTCAACTACATATCTATATGTGCAAATAATACAAATATTTTTTTCATATTCTATTACACACAACATGTTTACAACTCGATTAATGTAAAAATTGATTTTTCATAATTCACAAAAATCCATTTTAAGTACAAAGAATTATTTATATTAATCATAGTTTAATCCATTTCTACTAGGCTTCCAACCTATTTTTGACCTCAAAATAATAGAATTTATAGATAATAGGTCATTAATCTAGTAGAAATATCCTACTTTATAAATCAAAAATAGAGATTGGTCAACAATGAATTAGTTACCTTATTAGGATATATAGAAAGAGACAAAAACTTTGCACTGTATTAAACATTTAAATTTTAAATATTTTTTTGCAAGATTATTGTTGAGTGAATCAAATATCTTATTATCATACCTTTCTATTACTTTAGATGCCCTTTTTAAAAATTGATAAAAAAAGAGGTTGAATATACAAACTTGTTTTCACAATGTTGTGTACTTTGAATAATAGTACACTAATCCACATTAATCTAAACATGATTTTTTTTTTTTTTTAAGTTTATTTTATAATGTTTTATATATTATAAACTAAATATAATTAAATAATTAGGTCAGATTTAATATTTACAAAGAACCATGGCTCTACACTTCTTATGTTCATAAAGAATGAAATAGAATAATAACTCAAAGGCCATTCTTCTATGGTGAAGCTATCACCTGAAACAACAACACAATTGCAATTCATTCATGCGCATGCTTGTCTCACCTCTATACAACGGCATTGAGGACCAGCACAAGACTCAAGACACATCCCTCACAAGACCATGCTTGTTTAGTCTCTTGCTAAGGATACTGGAAACAAGCACAAGACGCAAGACACACCTCTCACAAGATCATTCGTATTCACCGAGCATTGGCTCCACATAAAGCTTCTTCTTCGTCGTCTATTTGGCGAATTGTGTTTTTTTTGGCTTGTGGGTGTGCGGCTTGTTGCAAGACATGGTGAGTTTGTGGCTCACGGATTCCACCATCCACGCCCTTGAGAATGGTCTCAGAAGAGCAACCTCGAGAATTGTCGCCGAAGAGACGAAGCGGATTGCGTTTCGAAGGCGAATGAAGGTGGGTTGTGAAAATGGGTTGTGTGGGATTGGTGGCCAGTGGCGTGATGCCTGCGGTGAGAGTAGCAGAATTGTGGCCAGGACGCGAGTTCGAGCGCAGGATGCCTGTGTCCAGTTTTCCAGTGATGGGAATGCGTTGCGGAGCTGCCGGGGTGAGGAGGATGAAGAGGCGGAACGGGATTGTATTGAGAGGATACGTGCGGCCATTGGTGTTGATGAGAGTTTTTATGGCACGGCATTTTGGATATCAGGTGGGGATAAGCTTGTGCTGTAATTTGGGAAGCATTGTTGGTGGAGTTTGGGATTTTGGCGCTATTGGGCGACACATGTTTGTGAAGATAAGTTAATGGAATGCACAATGCAGGCACTCAAACGTTGCTGGCTATGGAAGGGAAGTGGCAACTGAATTGGCGGAATGACGACGGCCGGTTCTGGGAGCAGTTTGATGGAGTGGAGATGACTTTAGAGTGCGGGTTCGATGGGGAGGGGCAAAATTCTTGGGCTGTTGGTGCGGCTGGGATACGGTCCACCTTGGAGCTGGATGATCGGGAGGTTAGGAGAGAGACCCAGATTCTTTGCGCGTGCTTTGGCTTGAAGAGTGAGACCTGCGCCTTGGGCGGGGATTTTTTTAGTGTGTGAATTGGAGGGGTGGATACGTTTTTGACTATGCAGGTCTGTCTTCTGGGTGCGTGGATTCGCACGGGGTACTGGGTGACTGAGGCAGCACGGACGCAGATTCACGTTCGCCTGGTTCAAGGCGACGTTGCGGGTGTGGCCATGGCATCTTGGGGGGAGATCACGTTATCGGTTCAACTGAGAGATTGCAAGGTAGATTCCTATCTTTGAATTGAGACTCAATTGCAATGCCATATCAAGGTTGAGGATTCTCACACAATTGTACCCGCAATTCTGGAAGTTAAAGATATGCTAATTGAAGTGCTGTAGGTGGTGGCATATGTGGTTGTTGATGCTACAACAATGTACCCACTGCGGGCAAGCATGAAGGCATTCGGAGGATGGAACAAGTGGCAATATTCTGATTGGAAACCCGTTGTGGTGAGCTCTTCCTTATGGTTGTATTCGAAGTCCTCTATTGGGCCTGCACGTTATAGATTTCCAATTGATTCTTTGCATTTTTTTTAGACATCTCGCCTATTTCATTTATCAGTGTTAGAAAGATGTCACCGAGACTTTGTATAGTTCTACGCAATGAGCGTTGAAAATCCTCATCACTTCGCTCTTATGCACAGAGAAAGTTGGGTCTGTACAGGCAGGTCAGGGATACCTTTTTCCATTCTCATGCACTTATACACAAGCTTCTGGAAATGAGGAAGTCTACTCGGTAGTAGAGATTTGCTCGGTAGAAAGCATTGATGAAGTGGTCGCCAGAGAGTCGCCTTTTTCTTCGCATTTTTTGTCAAATCTGTTAATTGTCCCTCGACCACGTGGACAAAACAATCATCCTCACGTGGACTTCGACTCTTCTTGCCCACCTGACGTTCAAGTGAGTTTCTCCAACCTGATTATCGGCTTCCTCTAAGGCTTTAGAATGGTTTTTCTGGTGTACAAACCGTTTACTTTCGATGCGCTGTGCAGATGTTGAGAACCGATAGTGGTCATTATCTTGTACAACCGCTGGTGAATGGCAAAACAGTGGGGTATGTCAGCATTCTCTATCTTCTAACTAATTGATTGTTCCTATTGTTACATTTACCAGTCTCTTTTCAGTCGTGTACCTTGGACTGTACAATATTAACTCGCTGCTGGTGTCCATCTATAGTTACTTCATCGTGGACACTGGTGCTAGCGGCCTCATCATTTCGCCACAGAAGGTAGCCTTCTCTCCATTCTGCTTGTGTTAGCAGCAGTGAGCCAACTACGGTTAGGAATCATGTGGCGGGTTAAAGGCCTAACAGCTCACACTTCCTCACAATCAGAGTGTGGCGGAAATGGATCTAAGAAAATTTGAATTGTTCAGTATCAAAACACTGTATAACTACTGTTCGTGCATGATTTCAGAGTCTTCTTTTGTACGTACTCCCTTGCGTCGTTCTCACAGTGATGGTCATACACTTCCTAAAGATGCTCATATATTTAGAACTGCCTCCCTTACGATGGTGGCGATTAACGAAGGGTCATGTTTGCAGGCAAGGGAGTTGAATTTAACGACATTCGGGGAGATCCATATTACTGGTGTGAATGGAGTGGTACGATGGCCTAATACTACCATGTTGATGTGTGTCTTACCATGACAACTGGGGGTTTGTGCCCATTTTGAAAGAAGATCATGGATCCTTTTCATATAACGCTCCTTGCTTTTATTTGTACTCACAGTATCAGCTTGTAGAGAGCTGACTAGATTGCAATATATTCTGATGCACAGGTCAAAAGTCAATACTGTCGAGCTAACACTTTCCAGCTTGGTCCACTTCGGATTACAAATCCTATGTTTTTAGAGGTAATTCATCTTTCATCCATTCTGATAACTTCAATAGGATATGACTTCTTATCTAGATGAATCATGTGCTTAAAAACATTTGGCTGGAATTTTTATAACGAATGTTAAGGTACTGTACAAATTGCTTCAGCTTTTAAAACCATGTTTCCTTTGTACTTTTCAAACTATTCTCTTTTTTCACGTCGAGTAAGTTTTAATTAAAGCTAATCTTGGGTATGTGTTTCTTTCACTGAAAGAAACACTAGAGTTTCAGTTATTCATATGCCAAAAGTGCTTTATTTTAATTTTTTGTAAAAATGAGATGAAAATACTCAATTTGAAATATATAGGTGTTATTCTTCTTCCGTACATCACGTTTAAATTATGACTTCAAGTGCGACAGAAGGCACAAAAACAAAAGTGTAATACCATTTAGTTCATTTGGGTTAAAGTTGCATCTAGTGACGAGATTGACCCTTCCCTCCATATGCACCACGTGCATGTAGTTAAGGAGTAGGTGAAGATGGGATGATATATAATGCCCAGTTGCTCGGGAACAACGCAGATACCTGTCTCAGGAATTGTAAGAGGCGATCCGCTCGTGGTAGGCATGTGTGGGTTTGACATGTTTGCGCAATGCATTGTTGAGGTATGTTCAGGAAACTCTGCTGCTTGTAACCTGTTTTGTTTCTTCCTCGTTGGGTCATCGTTATCATCATCGTTATATTCATTTTTTGAGTTGACTGATGCTGTTTGTGTTTAGATGGCCCATGACGAGGGCAGGCTGTCACTCTTTGATCCTGCATTGTACAGTATATCGTGCTCCAAATCGCTACAATGGCATGTGAGCACTTCTAAACTCTAATATCCTACCGAGATGTGTTCGACTTTGGTAGATGTATTCCTTGATATATCTTCTGGTGCTGATGACCAGCGATCCACCATTCTCTATTTCAGACCTTGCGATTTTTGGAAAACATCCCCCACGTGTCGGCTACTTTCAATGGTCACGATGCTTTGTTCCTGATTGACACTGGAGCTGGGGGTGTAGACGTCATCTTTCACAAGCGTGCTGTGGAGGAGTTTGGCTTGTTAAAATTAGTACAAGTAGAAACTTACGCTGAACTTATGGGTATCAACGCTTCAGGCAAAGGCGTCGAGGTGATACTGACTTACGTGCTCAAGTTTGACATTACTACTTGCTCGTGGATTGTTAACTTACCAATTAATGATATTAAACTTATATTTGTTAGGTTTAGCAGTTTCTTAGCAATGGCTTTATCGTATCACTGATATGGCTTACATTCAATGATAAAAACAGGTGATACTGGGCACACTAAACCAACTGGCAGTTGCAGGAAAACCATTTAAGCAGGTAAGCATTGACATTATCGAGCTTACGAATTTTCTTCTCGTTACAAGTTTCGTTCCAATTAGGTTAGGTCTGCATGTAATTGTAATGTGTAAGGTTCTGAATGAGATGGAAATTGAGAATTTGGGCTTAGTAGTGACTTGCTTGCATTTTGAACCAATTCAACTATTGTAGACAACGACAATGCTTGCTCGGGAGAATGTCGGAAACTTGGACACCTCCGAATATGTGGCTGGTCTTCTGTGTGGAGACTTGCTTACCAAGTGTCGTGTAGTATTTAATTATGCTCAGCGGCAATTGGCTATTACAACTCAGACTTGAAGAAATAACTTTTATTATTCAAAGGTGAGGAAATAGAATTGAATTTGCATCATTTGTCCATCTGTACCCTGATTAACATCATTGTACTCGAGTGTGGTGACACTTTCCACATAAGTCTGACTTATTTCTATAGCCTTGAATAATGGACGAAGAACAGATTTTGATAGCACCTGGTGACTGCTAGGATTCCTTAATTTTATGCATATCATCGTGCTTTGGTTTGAGAGTAAATAACCTATCTATACAAGGCACACTTCTCGAATTTGGCAGACATATGTGTAAGGGGAATGAATTTTATAAAAGAAACTAAAATTTTCATTCTTTCTGTTTCTAACAGTGACAAACGACAACAAACTAACCCAGAAGTTCCATAAAAGGAAAAGGGCAATTATCCTAACCTTGTTTTTCGGCTCTCGTCGTGAACCGTCTAACGTGGTACAGTTCTTAGAAACCGCAACCACGTTTCACAAAAGCAACTAGGACGTAAAATGGTTGGTCAAGCTGGTGAAAGAGCCATGACAAACGGTCTGGATTTTCCATGGACAACCTCACATCCTTTGAATCGCTAAAAACAACGAAATGTGCCTAAGAAAACAAATTTTCAGCATCCACGTTCGCAACAATAGATATTGAGGATGAGAAGATGTGAAAGTGTCTCAATCCCTCAGCACACTAAAACTTACTTACAAAATGTCTACAAAATGACTGTCCTTATTTTTAAACTATGGCACATGCACCCTGACTACCATTACACTAAATGAAAATGCTCTTCAACAACATTAAATGCGACGGCCAATCACAAAGCTTCTGAATTATTGAGGCTTTTTGAAGTCAATCTTGTCGACCTTCACTTCTCCATCAACGAGCTCGTAGACATAGACGACAACTCGTAAGCCATCAATATCCATGAGGACAAAGCTGGGGTTCACATCGTATGTGATGCTGCTGTATGCTCCGGTGGCAGATCCTGGATTAATTATTACTCCTCCTTCGTGCTTGTAAGCTTTGAACTGATGAGTATGACCAGTTATCAGAATATCAACATCCAGCTGGCGTTGAAGCATCGCCAATGAATCCAAATCTCCCCATGGCTCAACCTGCACATCAGGAGAGGAGGGCGCAGGTCACTACAAAAAAACCCAACCCTAAACTTCATGACAATATATAGCCAGGCTCAATGATCGATGCCCCTGAGTCCTACTTTCCGGTGATTGGGCGTCAAGAGTGCTAAACCAGATTCAACCTGAACCTAACCATGTACAACGGTTACACGCAACAATTCCGATCAGCATCTGCAACCATAATCCAGTAGGTTCATGAAATTTGAGAGCAAAACCTGATGGCCGTGGCAAATGCCGAGCTTGAAAGCACCGATGATCAGCTGCTTTGTCTCAGGGTAATGAGTGTCTTCGTCATACTCTCCACGCGTGATTTGAACGTCCGAACACAATGACTTCAAATAATCATGGACTTCCTGAGATAAAAATAAAATAAAATAAAATAAAAATCCAGAATGAGCAAAACCCAGATGTAACCACCTGCAAGTCCTCCACTAAACCCTCACCCTGATCCCCTAAAACTACAAACTCATGAAGAGGAAACAGGCTGAACACTCAGCTATAGAACCCAGTGTGCGAGATGTGTGAAGGAGGCAAACCTTGATGCAAAGATTGCCAGGGCTGAGGATGTGCTGAATCTTTCCCGGCACTAGCATAGATTTGAACTTGGCAGGCAGATCCGCGGCCCTGTGAGGAATGTGCAGGTCACCTAGGGCCAGAACGAGCACCATCTTGAGTGATCGACTCCAGGCTCCGTAAGCGATACGTAACCGCTCTTCTTCTCTCAAGTCTAAAGCACCTCCTGAAATTCGTTGCTCTACAAGGCGATGACACGACTTGCGCCTCTTCCAACAGTCAATCCTGAGACCAGGACCCGCGCACTGGCGCAGCTGACACCGCGCTACGAGGTCACCAAAACCCTATTGCAAATCAGGGCCAAACTTACGTCCACAATACCCTCATCCAAGCAAGATGCAAGAAGCGCAATGCCCCAACGAGAGCATGGCACAAATGGTCACAGTGGAGCTGCTGCTTGCTGCTGCAGGGGGGCAGAGAGATTCGTTGGCAAGAAGGAAGTATTAGATAGATGCGAATGTGGGTTCAGTCTCCGAGGCGGTGGCGGTGCAGGGCGATGTCCGAGGCAGGGTGCGAAGCCCATAAACAACTACAACTTCACGATACCCGAGAGAGAGTGTGGAGACGATGATCACCACCACCACAGCCAGGCAGAGCCACGACCCTTCGACCTCGACGACGACGACGACAGAAGCGCCACAGCTTGAAACAAACAAACAGGCTTGGAAGACGAATACGAAGACCCCCCCCTCCAAGTCAGGTTTCTCTATCAACCTATCTCTACATATTTTTGGTGAATGTTCGGACTAAATGAGCGTATTTTTATTTTATTTTATTTTATTATTTAGGTAGGGTAATTTTAAATATATCCATGCTTTAATTAAATTTATCCACCAATCATTGCCCTCTAGATTTATTTTTCCAATATAACCAATCACATTTATCACGATTATCATATTCTTCATCATGAATAGGTCAATTTATTCCCAATCCTCATTCCCATTCCCTTATTTCCAACCCTCATCTCCGTTCCCCTATTCCCAACCCTCATCTTCATTCCTCTATTCTCAACCCTCATCTCCATTTTCCTATTCCCTACCCTCATCTCTGTTTTCCTATTCCCAACCCTCATCCTCATTCCTCTATTCCCAACTCTCATCTTTGTTTTCCTATTCTCAACCCTCATCCTCGTTCTTCTATTCCCAACTCTCATCTTTGTTCTTCTATTCTCAACTCTCATCCTCATTTTCCTATTTCCAATCCTCATCCCCGCTCCCCTATTTCCAACCCTCATTCTTGTTCCCTTATTCCCAACCGTCATTCCTGTTCCCTTATTCCCAACCGTCATTCCTATTCTCTTATTCCCAACCATCATTTCCGTTTCCCTATTCCTAACCGTCATTCTCATTTCCCTATTCCCAACCCTCATCTCGGTTCTCCTATTCTCAACCGTCATCCTCGTTCTCTTATTCTCAACCCTCATCTCTGTTCTCCTATTCCTAACCCTCATTCCCGTTCCCTTGTTCACAACCTCCATCCTTATTCTCCTATTTCCAACCCTCATCCTGGTTCCCATATTCTCAACCCTCATCTCTATTCTCCTATTCCCAACTCTCATCTTTGTTTCCTTATTCTGAATCCTCATCTTTGTTTCCCTATTTCCAACTCTCATTCTCGTTCCTCTATTCCCAACTCTCATCCTCGCATCCCCATTTTCTTATTCCCAACCATCATCCTCATTCTCCTATTTCCAACCGTCATCCCCGTTCTCTTATTCTCAACACTCATCCCTGTTCTCCTACTCCCAATCCTCATCTCCGTTCTCCTATTCCTAACCCTCATTCCCGTTCTCTTGTTCACAACCCTCATCCTTGTTCTCCTATTCCCAACCTTCATTCCGGTTCCCCTATTCTCAACCTTCATCTCTATTCTCCTATTCCCAACTCTCATCTTTGTTTCCCTATTCTGAATCTTCATCTTTATTTCCCTATTTCCAACTCTCATCCTCATTCCTCTATTCCCAACTCTCATCCGTGTTCTCTTATTCTCAACCCTCATCTCTATTCCCTTATTCCCAATCCTCACCCCCATTCCTTAATTCCCAATCCTCATCCTTGTTCCTCATTCTCAACCATCATCCATGTTCTCCTATTCCCAACCTTCATCTTCGTTCCTTTATTCCAACCCTCATCTCCATTCTCCTATTTTCAACCCTCATTTTTATTCCCCTATTTCCAACCTTCATCTCCATTCTTTTATTCTCAACCTTCATCCTCATTCTCCTATTCCCAACCCTCATTCCCGTTCTCTTATTCTCAACCCTCATTCCCGTTCTCTTATTCTCAACCCTCATCCCTATTTTCGTATTTTCAACCATCATCCATATTGCCCTACTCGCAACCATCATCTTCATTTTGCTATTTTCAACCCTCATCCTCCTTTCTTATGACAATTTTGATTACAACAAGCACTCAAAGTTTTGCAAGAGCTGTTGCTACTCCTCGGACAGTCTATTCAAAGAAGTTGATCTGCATAATATGAGCTGTTATCACAGATATACACATGTAAGCCAATAATTACATGTATAAATAGATAGAAGTAAGTAGAAGTAGGTAAAAGTAAGTTAATTATATAATATCTTCTATGAAAGCTTCCTAAAAGCTTCATAGATGTTGCTTTGGCTATATAGGTGTCTTTAATTGACTTTTTGGATTGAAAACGTGGTCAACAAATTAGCCATGTATCTTACATATTATTAGCTTAAAGACCAAGCTAATTATGTGGCCCACATGTAGAAAAACTTACCTTGTAAGTCAAGGCATGTATCCTACAAAATCAACACATATTAGAGGTCGTATAGAACATCGCCACATAGCCCCTAGTTAGATAGTATATATAGAGACAAGAATGAAGTCCTCTTCACTCTTGTCAACTCGTTTCAAGAGTCTCAAGTTTTCTTATCTTTTGGCAATAAGCCATTTTAATTTTCTTTTAATATATGTACTTCTTTATTTCTATTTTTTTATTCTTTTTTTAACACAAATTTTATTGGTTTATGCATCATCTTTTAGTTTATGTCCTTGACAGATTGAGAAGAATATACTTACAATATTAGAGCTTTGTCTTGTCTTAATTAAGAGTAAATTACTTCTTTTTCATGATAAGACATAAGCATATTAGAAGTTGTAAATTACCCTCTTCTAAATTGATATTGTTTTTAGTATTTTCTTTGTCCTCAAGTCCTTTCTTCTACTTCTCTTCAATGGTATTAGATATTTTTCTGAGTGTTATTATAGTTCAAATGAAGAGTGCAATGGCACAAATGCAAGAGCAATTGAGGGAGTTGATGCTTGTGATATATCAACTTAGCTTACCACTACAAGGATCAATAAGAATGGCAGGAAGTGAGGATATAGAGATGATTAGAGCTACTTCAACATTTGCACCAAATCATATCCCTCCACCCATAGTGGAATATCCTTCAAGTACTAGAGAACCAAGAATTGCTTTGTTCAAGAAGTTTGATGGTACAAGATCCAAATTTTGAGGATTTATCAATCAAGTACAACTTGTAATTGAACTTCAACTTCAAAGCTATCCAATTCTAGGATTACAAGTTAGATTCATTGGTACACTTCTTTCAAGTTCAACACTATCATTGTTTTCATCTTTTTTTAAATGACAAGATCCAATATTGAATAATCTGGAGGCATTTTTGGCAAAATTCTGATCCATGTGTGGAGACTTGATGCAACTCAGGTTGCAACCAACAAGATCCGTATTTTACGACAAGACAATCATTCTGTAACGTTAAATGCTTCATAATTCTGACAACTTATAACTGATATCAAGTAGGATGATGTTGCACTTATTAGCCAATTTTTCTATGGATTACAATATGAAGTAAAGAAATTGATACTCAACTTACCTGATTCTCAAACATTAAGTCAAAAAATTGACTTTGTTGTAAAATGTGACAATCGATTTTTTGAATTTCATTCTGAGAGTCATACAAATGGACTTCAACGTTATTACAATTCAATGGCAACACCACCATCTTGCCAATATATACATTCAAAAGCAAAGTATATGCAAATTGATGTGGTACATTTTAAACCTCTTACCGAGCAAGAAAAGGCTCATCGTCGTCAAGAAGGATTGTGCTTATATTATGGAGAACCTAAACACACTGCTCAACATTATCTAAAGAAGCAACAAAATTACAAAATAAAGAGCACATTTATCAAAAAAGATAATGTGTTGGAAAATAAATTTGTCCAACTACAATAGGGATTGTGCGGCTGGAATCTTATACAATTTTTAATGAAGGTCCTATTCTCTCTTTAGAATCCTCTCCTTGTTTTATAATAGATGTATGTTTAGGACCTAATAATTATAAAGTCTCTACCTTGATAGATTCAAGAATCTTAGCTTGTTTCTTAGATGTAGAATTTGTTAAAAGTCATAAAATATTGATAGTACAAAAAATCAAACCTATTCATGTAAAAGTCATAGATAGTCATCCGTTATCTTTTGGATATATTATTCATGAAATACTTCCTATAGATGTAGTAATAAATGGTCATAATAGTTGCATAATCTTTAATATAATTAGATCTCCCTCTAATCCAATCATTTTAAATTTATCATGGTTAAAAAAGTATAATCCTTGTATAGATTGGATTTCTCATACAATTGACTTTTCTAAAAGCATAATTAAGAGTGAAATTAATCCAATAGAAAGTCATAAGTCTAATGCAATTAAACATATGTTTGTAGGTGCAAGATCTTTCTTGCATGCTGCAAAAAAAGGATGACCTTGATTTATTTATGCCACACATGTTTCTAATGATGTGAAGACTTCAAATGGCATTTCCAACTAATATCAAGAATTTCAAGATATATTTGAGAAGAAGGATGTGGATACTCTTACAGAACATCGTCCCTATGACTGTTCAATTGACCTTCAAGAAGGAGTACAACCGCCATTTGGACCAATCTATAGTTTATCACAATATGAATTAGCTGAATTCAAGGAATATATTGAAGAAAATCTAGTCAAGAATTTCATACTCCATTCCAAATCACAAGTAGGAACTCCAATCTTATTTGTAAAGAAAAAAGATGGATCATTACGGATGTGTGTTGATTATTGAGGATTCAACAAGATCACCATCAAGAATAGGTATGCTTTACTTTTGTTATGTAGACTTCTTGAACAACTGAATTAAACTAAGATCTATACAAAAATAAATCTATAGAGAGCATATAATCTAGTACATATTAAAGAAAGAGATGAATAGAAGACTACGTTTTGAACTAGGTATGAGCATTTTGAATACAATGTCATGCCTTTTGGACTTACAAATGCACCAACAACTTTTCAACATCTAATGAATGATTTTTTTTTATATATTTTTTAGATAATTTTATTATCTATTATGTGGACGACATCTTGATCTATTCTAAGCATACAAATGAATATGAACTTCATGTTCGACATGTGTTACAAAAATTAAGAGATGCAAGATTCTATACAAAGATAAAAAAAAAGTATGTATTCTATATTACTCAAGTCGACTTCTTAAGATACATCATTTCAAATAATGGATTTATAATGGATCCCAAGAAAGTTCAACCAATTATGAATTAGAAGATTTCAAAAATGGTAAGAGATGTTTAATGCTTTTTAGACTTTGCCAATTACTATCGGATCTTCATCAAAGACTT